GTAGTAAGTAAAAAACAGTAGGAGAGAGGCTTCTCAGCTAATTTGAAGAAACTCGGGTCCGAAAGGGTTAAAGGTATTTGAATGATTGTTTAGTGCGACTTGGTGATCGTCGAGAATGGTCAAGTAGACACTTCTACAGTGATACCGCTCATAGATGGTGGTACCGAAGGTTTTAAGGGAAACGCAAGAGTAATCTACCCGCGGTTATCTGCTTGCATCGACTGCACTTTGAATCTGTTCCCTCCTCAGGTACGAACGAAGATAATTCGTTCCCTTTAGTGAATCACTTCGGTTTTTTGAAGGATTTTCTTGTAATTCCATAGTATTATTTTGATTGCAGGTAAACTTCCCTTTGTGCACCATCGCACATACCCCAAGGTTACCAGAACACTGCGTTGAGTACGTGAAGGTGATACAGTGGGTGGAGGAAGCTCCTTTTAATGGTAAATACTTCATAAATTATGGAGAATTCATGAAGGTGCAATTCTCCTACTCATTCAGGAGCTGCGCTGGATGCTGATGATCCCTCGCATGTAGACTGGGTTTTGCAGAAAGCACTTGCACGAGCAAAGGAATACGGTATGATAAATGCTCGTCCGTAAAGGAAATGATTCTACTTGTTTACACTCTTCAGACATAAAGGGTGTCGACCGACGTTTGACGCATGGCGTGTTGAAAAGAATCATCCCAGCCGTTGCATCCACAAACGCTGTGATAGCAGCATCATGTGCCCTGGAAGCCATAAAATTAGCGACGAAGTAACTTCACAAAAGATTTACATATCATTTTTCACTATTTGTTTTGATGTCTTTTTTAGCACTGCCAAACCTATCGACAACTACCTTAACTTCACCGATATTGAAGGTGTCTATTGCGGAGTAGTACAAATGGAGCGAGATGTGAGCCTCTATGTTGAAGCGCTTTACCGAGTATCTTTACATTCCATTTTAGCCAGATTGCCCAACATGCAGTAGTGGGTATGTGCAGATTCAGTGCCAAAATGATGACACTTTGCAGGATCTGATTGACAAGCTTGTCGACAAGTTGTGAGTTTTCAAAATTCCCTCATTTTGTGATAGCTCCAGCGAAACGATCGCTTAAAGGCAGCGGCCCGGCAGAATTTCGTTTTCCA